AGCCATGTGGAAACTCTTGGTAAATTGACAGTGGCTCAAAATTGACAAGGAAGGCTACAGCAAACTGCATTAATGGAGACATAAACCTGAAGGACAGCACATTCAGCACAGCAATCAGTCACTTGTAAGTAGGACATTGTATTGTTTTTAAACTTACATTTTATTTTTGTTATTGACAAAGCATGTGAAGAGCTAAGCTACAGAACAGGTAGCAGAAGTAAAAGTTTCTAATCCCATTTACACTGAGCAGATCATTTACATTGGTAGGGAAGTGTGTTTTAGTCCTGATTGGAAAGAACCACTTATAAGGATGAGAGGATACATCAGTCTCCATAGCTTCATTTCTTATGCTCACTTCTGAGATTGCCACCGGTCAGGCCAGCTGTCCTACAGGAACTGAACTGAGACCAGTAATTCATGTCACACATTCATTGGCCACAAAACAGCCATCAGTAGGAAACAACTTTGAGTTATTACAAATCTGGGGCAATTTTAAACCAGTTACCTACAACTAAGAGGATCCATATCTGATTACCACTTCCTTAAGGCATGCAGTTCCATTACATCCGCTTTGAGTGAGCCCTTTTCTGTAGCTTTATGAGGTACAAACACATTCTCTTAAAAATGGCACTATATCTTTTCCTTCAGCTTTTTGGTATGGAAAATATCAAGAATAGTGGGTCTATCTATTGTATTTATATTTCCTAATAGAAGCTCTAGAGTAGACCAGTGGTCCCCAAATGTTTTACGTCATGCCCTCCCGACTCCTAATATAATCTGCCCGTGCCCCCGTGGTTGGGAGCCAGGGGTCGGGAGCCAGGGCCAGAAGCGGGGCTGTGGTTCGGGCCAAAGCTGAGGCCGCAGATGCAGCTGGGGCCGTGGCTGGAGCAGAAGTGGGGCCGGGAGATGGACCACGGTTGGGAGCCGAGGCCTGGGCCAGGAGCGGGGCCAGGCTGCGACTGGGAGCCAGGGGCCGTGCCTGGGGACAGGAGCCAGGGGCCGAGGCCAGAACCAGGAGCGGAGCCATAGTCAGGGCTGAGGGCCGCAGCTGGGGGTGGAGCCAGAGTGGAGCTGGGGGCAGAGCGGGGCTGGGTGGTGCTCCCTCCCTGCCCCCTATGGGGGCTGGTCTGGGCCCTGCCACACCCCACCCCAAATGTTCTTCCCTGCCCCTTTAGGGGTCACACCCACAGTTTGGGGACCACTGAGCTAAACTAACGGTGTAGAATAGGTTTTAGAGAATACAGTTCCCATCTTAATGCATGAAATACATAAGACTTTCAAGGTTGTTACAAGGCAAAGGCTATTATCCAAAAAAGGCCATTTTAACCACCATTAATTTAGCCATTTTCCAAAGTAATACAACTTAGAATACAATTTACAGAAATTCTGAAAGGCTCCCATTCATGCAGATTTTGATCTGCAATGCCTTTGCCTCAAATGACAGTGTCAAATTGTCAAGATGGCAGCTTCCTAATTTTTTTTTTTGTAAATATATTTAAGACATTTGTAGTTTGTTTTTTAATCATTTAGGAGCCTAAATCCCATTTTCAAAAGTGACATAAGCACATAGACCCAAAACCTTGAAGATATTTAGGCTCCTAATTTCCACTGATTTCAGTGGAAGTTAGGAATCTAAATACCTTTGAGGATCTGGGCCTTAGAGCCAAATTTTAAAGTTATTTCAGTATCTAGGTGCCTAATGGGATTTTCAAATGTGCCTTGATTCCCAAAATGGGAGTTAGGTACCTGGACACATTTGAAAATTCCTCTAGGGGCCTTTCTGCAACTTTAGGCACCCAAATACCTTTTAAAATCTGGTCTTTAGGAGCTTAAATCTCACTGAAAGTCAATGGGTCTTAGGGTATGTGCTGCTGTAGCACCATAGTTTAGACCAGGGGTAGGCAACCTATGGCATGTGTGCCGAAGGCGGCAGACAAGCTGATTTTCAGTGGCACTCACACTGCCCGGGTCCTGGCCAGCGGTCCGGGGGGCTCTGCATTTTAATTTTAATTTTAAATGAAGCTTCTTAAACATTTTTAAAACCTTATTTACTTTACATACAACAATAGTTTAGTTATATATTATAGACTTATTGAAAGAGACCTTCTAAAAACATTAAACTGTATTACTGGCATGCGAAACCTTAAATTAGAGTGAATAAATGAAGACTCGGCACACCACTTCTGAAAGGTTGCTGATCCCTGGTTTAGACACTTCCTACAGCGATGGAAGGGGTTTTCCCATCAATGTGACTAATCCATCTCTCCGAGATGCAGTAGCTAGGTCAATGGAAGAATTCTTCCATTGGCCTAGGTGCATCTACAATGAGAGTTAGGTTGACCTAACTACCACACTAAGGGTGCAAAATTTATCACAGCCCTGAGCAAGATAGCTAAGTCAATCTAATTTTTAAGCACAGACCAGGCCTTAGATGATAGTCTGTGTTGCAAGTGCTGTTATTGAACTGAGTACTCAAATGTGACTTGAATGAATATATATCAGGCACAAAATCCATTAAGAGGCAACATCTCAGTGGGAGCAAAGCACTTAAGCACCTGCTTAACTTTAAGCATGTGATTAATCCCAACAGTACTACTCATGCTTAAAGTTATGCAAGTGTTTGTTTGCTGTGCTAAATTAAGGCATTAGTGCAGTCTCAGTTTACAGTATGTTGCATATGCACATGTAAATTTCATTGACTAATGATAACTAATAAAAAATATTAAATAAATTAACTTTGCTTTTGAGGAGGAAGGGTCTAAGACCATCTTGAATTAGCACAAGAAAAAGTTTTGCTTTATCAAATCTATATCTCAGCATCTCCGGAGAGTTTATATCAGCATGGAAAGGTGTTAGGCACTTGATTGAAACCAGTGGGACTTCTCACATTAAGGCAAGCAGGATTTGGCCAAGAGGGAGCTAAATAAGTAGAGCCCTGCAAATCTGTGGATATCCACTTTATATCCTCAGATATCCACGGACCATGTTTGCAGATCACGTATCAGATGCAGATACAAATTTTATGTCCACACAGCGCTCTGTAAATAAGTGTTTGAGAGAGAGAAAGAAAGAGAGGAAGAAAGAAAGAAAGAACGAACTAATGTTTTTTAATCAATAGTTTGATGCTGCAAAGCCTCACTCATGTAAGTAATTTATATTAATTTAAATAAAAGATTACATATGTAAATTTTGCTTCATTTAGCTCCAAATGAAAAATCTCTCCCCTTGTGGGGAGGGAGGTTTGTGTTAGAAGTTATGCTCTAGTGTTGCTATTTCTACAGAAATAGATCTTTTATAAATGGGTTTTTTTATGACTTGAGGGAAATATAGTAATAAGACTCTCTCATGTATTTTTATAAGCAATTTTAGTGAGGATACTTTCTCATTTAAATATCAGGAAAGATGGTTATAATTTCATTGCTTACCATATGCACAGGAATTAATCTGACCCAAGTTGATACTGGTTTTTTCACAGTCTTGTTTCATATTGTGAACAACAGCACTTGCTTCCTTTTCCTGCATGAAGGGATGCCACGAGTGAGATAAATTCAGTGACAGTGCACAAGGTAATAATGTTGTTAGAACAACAAGAAATAATACTACATTTAAGCTGTAGGAAATCTGATCAGAAATTATCTTCTGGCAGAGGGAAGTGCATAGACAAAATCAGAAATGTACACAGAAGTCATTCAAAGGTATGCCAGGTATGTCGGCTTACTGATGATATAGGTCTGAATTTGGGTACCAGGCACACCTCTCACTGCCACCCAGTGGTTTAACGGATGGGAGGCTTGACTGGATCTGCGAGGTGCAGACAGGTTTAGAATGAAAGAAGGAGTGTACACAAGGATAGGTCCCTCGTTCCCTGGTGTTCCGCAGCCCACTGGCCGGCCAGGGAAGTGTGACCCATTGGCTTTGCCTTTCCACAATCGTTAATTTAAACCCAGGGTTTCTTGAGCACCTGCCATTACCTTAATGACACTCTCTCCAACTAATCCAGGAGTGGCATTGAAGAGCTCTGCAGGGAGATGACTTTCAAACCTCTTTGGCTGGAAGGATGGGTCAAAAATAAAAAAATTACAAAGGAGAAATGTGAGTAGGCCTCAGAGGAGACACACACACACACTTTCCTCAAAATACACTCATTTCAGTAGAGCATATGGGCCTAATTCTTATCTCACACCAGTGTATATCATACCTTCAGTGAAGTTAATGGAGTTAGTAGTTAGTGCAAAACAGAGAATGGAGTGGGAGAGCCTGGGCTTCCCTTATCACCCCCCTTATCACAGAAGGGGCATAAACCTCCTGTTCCACCCCTCCCCTCAGGACTGAGGAGAGGATGGAGAGGTTGAGAGCCCCAGGATGAGGGCGAGTCACCCTCATGGGTCTGGAGGTGGGTTTGAAGTGGGTGTCAAATTGCAGGTTGCAGAAAGAGTCTCTATTATGCTTTATTATCATAACTATTATTTAACAGTTATGGTAGTGCCTAAAAGGTCTCAACCAGCTAGGTGCTGTACAAACATGTGGTCAATTTCAGTTCCTGCCCCAAAAAGCTTACAGTCTAAAAGACAAGACGTACCAGGTGGACAAACAAGCAGGTTAGGGCAAAAGAAAAGAAGTAACAAATATAACAGGATGTGCAGAATTCTTATCCAAGAATTTTGTGTCTTCTTTACTACTTAATTTTTATTACTTTTAAACTGTAGTTGCCTTTGGCTCAATCATTTTTGAAATTTGTCTGTAACATCCAAAAACTGAGCCTTATGTACCCAGTGTTAACTGTATATTGAAATATTGTTGAATCTTTTATAATTGTAGGTAGAGGAAAGTAAATACAGGCTTTTCTCCCCAGTGTGGCTGTGAAATCCAGCTTGTGCTAGCCAAGTTAATTTTGCCAGTTCTAACTCACATATTTACCTGGAAATGGTAATCTCAAAATACAGCACACTATATAACGGGCACAGTTCTAGCCTTTACACTCTGTGTGCCATGTTCAGTACCTTCCGTACAGGCTAATGCTGGCTGTATAATCAGCAAGCCCCATTCCAGCATTAATAGCTATGCAGGTAGCCAGAGTGCACATCTTATTTCCAGCATCCTCTTCTGTTCTGTTGGACCAATGAATCCTCCTGCTAGCCATGGGTACGAATGATTGATCAGACATTTGGACCAAGGCCAATACCGGGACCCTGACGGCAACTGCAGTGACAAGCCACAATCAGTTTCACTGTGTATGTACAAGCAGAATTTGGACAAACTGATGAAAGTGAAAATCATAAACACCAACAGTGACAAAAGACAACCAAGTCACCTGAAGATTGGTACCATAGAGTCCACTGGGAACTCAGAGACCAACAGTATGTTATTATGGGGGAAAAGGTGACTACCAGTAAGAGCAGACGTTCCCTGATCACTCAAGAAAGTTCAAAGAAGAGTAAGAAAGCTATGCAATCTGCTCCATTAAATTCAACATAGTTTCAGTGGCCTAGAGACCAGCAGAACTAATAGTGTCTTGAAGCTGTCAGATGCAATTGGAATCGATTGTTAACACAGATAAGATTTCATTTGGAATGTCAGCGCTCTCTAGTGTTCCACTCTCACCTCTGCAAATCTTTCATCCACTCACTCTCCCCAGTTTCATCACCACATTACCATTTTCCCGAGTTTGCCCAAGGAAATTCATCAAACCCTTCCACTGAGCCTTAGGCAAAATACATTACAGTAATAATCAATAGCAGTAAAATATGCACCATAGCATGGCTAACACCTATCACAGTAGGTTAAAAATGTGTAAGTGACCATGTAGATTGACAACTCTAATTTATTTTCAGAGCTATTTTTTTTCTATGTCTCACTAGGCTAGGAAATCAGTTCCAAAAGGAAAAAGAAGACTATTTGCCAGTGGGGGCGTTAAAAATAGCTTACTTTAATATTAATTATCACTTTTTGTTTTCACAAGGAAAGAAAACAAATAGCATCTTTTAGAGAGATGGTGGATGTTCCCCCCAAGGCTCCTTTGACAATGAAACTCAAGTTGACCTTGGGCATGTCGCTTTGCTTTTTTGTGCCTCAATTTCCCATCTGTAAAATGGGGCTAATAGCACTTCCCTCCCTCACAGGGAAGTTGTGAGAATAAATACATTAAAGATTGTGAGGTACTCAGATACTATGGTGATGGGGACCATATAAGTACCATAGAGAGAAGATGGGGAGAGGGAGCTGGGGACCACTTTTAAATTTTCACTGTAAAGTTTTGTTCACAGCATATTTACACTGACATGTAGCATGGGAGGATGGCTGGGATATGCTGTAAGCATGGTGAGAGAGCAAGAAAACATGTGAGCTCTGCCACGCATACATGATTTATGAAAAACACTGCACTGTATCAAAATAAAGGAGTCATATAGAGAATCTCATTGCCACCAGCACAAGACAATGCGCTGACGGATCCTGATCATGGAAATGGAAGCTGGAAAAGTGGGCTTTGGAATAGAGGTTATAGAGTTGATACATGCAGCGTACTGCTGATAAACACAAGGCTCCACAGTTTCAGATAAGGACTGGTCAAAAAAGGCTGCAGTACTTGAAGCACAGGAAGACAAGCAAGCAGTGAATTACTAAGTAAAGAGCAGAATGAAACTAAATGCACTGCTTGAAATGATTAGTGACTAATACACCCCAAAGGAAAACATATATGTAATAACTACAAAACCTGTTAATAGCACATTCCTTCTTTTATTCAAATGTTGGCAGCAGGGCCGGCTCCAGGCACCAGCGCAGCAAGTTGGTGCTTGGGGCGGCCCATGGAAGGGGGCGGCACGTCCGGGTCTTCGGTGGCAATTCGGGGGCAGGTCCCTCAGACGGCATGGAAGAGCAGCCGCCGAAGTGCCGCCGATTGCGGGGTTTTTTTTTTTTTCCCTCTTCGCCGCTTGGGGCGGCAAAAAAGCTGGAGACGGCCATGGTTGGCAGTTTACTATAGATCCACAATCACTAGTCAATGCAACCACAGAATTTCTAGGTCTAGGTTTTCTGTATTACGAAGCTAAGAAAAATGTCACAAGACAAGTGAGTGCTACACAGATGCCCTGCTTCTGCTCTAATTGACACCAATGGCAAAACTGGGTTCAGTGGGAACAGGAATAGGCCTCAACTGCTTTTGCATTACTATTAATCCCCAAATCCCCCTTTTTGTTTGATTATTGACTGGCCTGCTAACCCTAATTCAAAGTATAACCATTGTCCTGCATTGTAGACATATCAATGTGCACCGTGTGATCTTCAACACAGTGAGTCAGATATCGCCATGTGACCCTGCCCCTTTGTGCTGCACTGTCAGCAGATTATGGTTGTACAGCTGCTGTATCCGGTTCTGCGGAGGTGGGATCCTCCAGTGGCATAGAGCCAGGAGAGAAGCACTGAGGCCTGAATGCACAAAAGGAGTTAGGCATGGTGATGCGCCGCATAACAACACCTAACTTCACAAATCCTGAGTTAGGCACCTAAGCTCCTATACAATGAACAGGAGAGGTAGGCGCCTTAGAATGCAATTAACAAAAGCCAGCAGGATAGGTAGGGAAATGCCTACAATAGGGGTACATGCTAAACCTTGCCCCTATCTCAGAGATGAGTTCCTACCGCTGGGTGGCAGGGTGGTGCCTATCTCAGCTGCAAACCCTCTCCTGTATTAGGCACCTAGACTGCTGAAGAGTCGGTTGGGGGGGAGGAGGGGGAGAGAGAAAGAGAGAGAGAGAGAGAGCGCACCTGCGTATGTGCATGAGAATGACTCTTTAGCCCAGTGGTTAGAGCACTTGCCCAGGAAGTGGAACACCCAGGATCCAGTCCAATGACTCTCTCATTATTTATCCAGAGTGCAGTAGTTTCAACAGGAGAGACTGAGCCAGCCCCACATTGGACTATCCCATAGCTCAGTAATTAGAGCGCTCATCAAAGGGTATGTCTACACTGCAATTGAAAACCTGCGGCTGGCCTGTGCCAAATGACTCAGGCTTGCAGGGATCAGGCTGTGGGGCTGTTTAATTGCAGTACAGATGTCTGGGCTTGTGCTGGAGCCTGGGCTCTAGGGCCCTGCGAGATTTGGGTGGGAAGTTTCCCAAAGCGCAGGCTGCAACCCATGCCAGAACAGCTTCACTGTAGTTAAACAGCCCCACAGCCCGAGCCCCGCAAGCCTGAGTCAGCTGGTGTGGGCCAGCCACAGGTGTTTAATTGCAGTATAGACAGACCCTAAGAGGCAGAAGAACCCTGTTCAAATCCCTTCTCCCTCTCAAGCAGAGGTGGAACTTGAACAAGAGTCTCCCACCTCCCAGGTGAGTTCCCTAACCACTAGGCTAAAAGTTTTGAGGGAAGTCCTCCTTTCCCTCCCCTCCCCCAGCTGTTATTGTGTGAATTCACCAGGGGGAGGGAGGGCAATCTGGTAGGCGCCTTCTGAGCATGCTTACAGACTGGGACCTGCACAGGACATCACATGACTTGGTCAGCTAAACACTTATCTTCGCCTGGTTTGTGAATCACTGTTGGAGGCAGAGCTAGGCATGTGGATGCATAGAGGGAGGCAGCAGTGCACATGTGCAGAGGCAGTAACATTGGCACCTAGGCAGGGGTCAAGGGAACAGGGGGGGTCAAGTCGCCATGGCCCTCCTACTTTTGAGCTCCGGCTTCTGGCCTGACCTGGGGGCAGGGCCCATAGGCACCAACTTTCCCCGGCGCCGAAGGAGGCTCGCGCCCCCCCCGGCCCCGCCCCGGCCCCGACTCCACCCTTTCCCCGCACCTGCCCCGCCCCCATCCCAACCCCTTCCCCAAAGTCCCCGCCCCAACTCCGCCCCCTCCCTGCCCCTACTGAACCCCTTCCCCAAATCCCCGCCCCGGCCCCGCCTCTTCCCCGAGCGCACCGCGTTCTCCCTCCTCCTCCCTCCCTCCCAGCCGCACGAAACAGCTGTTTCGCAGCGCAAGCACTGGGAGCTAGGGGGAAAATGCAGGCATGTGGCGCGCTCAGGGGAGGAGGCGGAGGCGGAGGTGAGCTGGGCGGGGGGGCAGGGAGCTGCCGGTGGGTGCTGAGCACCCACCAATTTTTCCCCGTGGGTGCTCCAGCCCCGGAGCACCCACGCAGTTGGCACCTATGGCGGGGCCTTGGGGGCCGGAAGCTGGAGCCGGGCCCGGGTAAGAGTGGCCTGGGGAGCCTGGGCAGCTGTGGGGAGCCTCCACCTGCCTGCGGTGAGAGGGTCCGAGAACAGACCCTGGCCTCTGTCTAACCCCCTACCCAGATGGAGGGTCTGTGGCTCCCCACAGTTGCCTGGGTGGCTCTTACCATGGCCTGCCTGCGGCCCTGCCCCCATAGGCCCTGCATAGCTATTAATGCTGGCATGGGGCTTGCTGATTATACAGCCAGCATTAGCCTGTACGGAAGGTACTGAAGCCAGAGCTGGGTCAGGGTAAGAGATGCTGGGAGGGTGGGGGTAGGGACACAGGCTGGGGGCTGCTCTCGCCCCCTCCCCCCCGCTCCCCAGCAGGTGTAGGGGCCCAGGCTCCCCGGCCCAGCCTCATAGGGAAGAGGAGGGACAGGTATGGGGCCACGGAGAGAGTGGTGCCTAATTTCCTCCCTCCCCCCCTTTTAGGAAGACTCCGTCACCCTTGCACGTAGGCAACTTTTATTCTGCAAAATTTAGGTGATGAGTGAGCTTAGGCACCTACAGGGTTCAGCTGGATTTTTGAGCATTGCAGCAGTCCAAAAATTGGGACTTAGGTGCCTAAAATGAGACTTAGGCACCTAACTCCTTTTGTGCATTCAGGTCTGAGTGGCCAACACAGAGGGGGACTAAGCAGGCTAAGATAGTACCGCCTGCTCCACTGATGCACATGGCCTGTTCTGTGGATTGGAATGGGAGGGACCATGGCCCCTCCTGTCTCTGTTTAGGGGAATGTGTACCCCAGGACATGTGGACTGAGAAATCCCTGAATTCCATCAAGCGCAGGGTCTGTGATTATGACTGGCCCTTGTGTGGGAGGTGCACAGAAGACTAACAAAGCTGCTTGTGTCCTCCAACTCTGCATTCAGTCTGGCCCTTGGTTTTAGCTGCCAATTGATTCCTACTTCTGGCACAGGAAAGAACCATCATATTCTGATTT